TTTTTTTTTTTTTTTTTTTTTTTTAGAAGTATGGAATTTCAAATGCAAATTGAGACAAATACACCATAGGGGTAAATGGATGCAACCGCATTGATGTCAATAGAATTAGATCCTGTTTATTCTGTATCTGGATTTCTGCATGTTATTGGCTAAATGTTCATTTCCATTTTAATAATTGTTGCAATATATCTTATCTCTTAGCTTTAAGACCTTGGTATGAATGTTCTGCAGTAACTTGCTCTGGGTAACAATATGTTATGCAGGGCAGAAATAAATCCAATATAAAGTTCTTCCTTATTATATTGTTTTCTACAGTAGATGATTTATAGGCATTTTACCACAACGAATCACAAAAGGATTTTCTAATATGACTAATGACATTAAATCTATTTAAGGATATTCACTAAAAGCAATGTGAATCCCCTATAAAGATACTGTCATAAAACTGTACTTCAGTCTGATCAGCGTTCATAACTGCTTGCTTTTGACTTGTCATTGCGACTTGGATTCTAATACTGACAAATGTACTTGTGCCAAAAGTTTAAATGCAATTTTTTTTGGTGTTTTTTGACAAAAGCATCTTTTCAGCGAAACAGGAAAGTTGATGAGAAAACTTCTGGTTTTATCAAAATATTTTCAATTTAGTTGAAAAGCCAGAAGCTCCAAAAATCCGGTTTTGACGATTGAAAGCCTGAAAGGATCTGGTTTTTCAAAACCAAACCAAAAAAACCCCAGTGTTTTTCAAGGGGGAAAAAAAAAAAGATATGAAGATATGAAGTACATTTCTCAACTCTTGCTTTCTATTAGTTTCTCTTTTGTGTTGGTTTTAGCAGTAGTGTACGGCATAGTTTAACATGCATTGTTTGGTTTAAATAGATTATACAATTTCATGGTGCACAGTGAGATGAACACATTACAAGACTGCTTGATCCTTAAATTGTTACGTGACTGTTGTTGTGTTGTTGCTTTAGAAATCTATTCTCTGAAGACTATATCTGAGTGGAAATGCGCTCGGGAAAAATCCCTTAATGATGCAGCAAAATGTCCTCTTCCAATGGAAGTGTTCAAGGTAAAAGATGCATATTTTTTTTTCTTTTTAATTCAAGAGCTAAGAATGTATAAGTAAATGGAATGGTTTAGCATCATGTGTTTACATTGTCTGGGCAATGCTCTGTTATGTCCTGCTGCAGTGGGTCACAAGTGAGATGTGCCCATAGTCATATGAGGTTTTTTTGGGAGAGGGTAGAACTGGGTATATCTTGCATTTTTAAAGGCCCTTGTGATAAGTCCTGTGTATAACACCCCACCTATTTCACCCATGTCCTCAAAAGAAGGCTTCAGTGGAATTTCTGAATGAAGGATTAGTGATCCTGGATGAAACCCAAGGTGCAGTCCTACTTTTGAGAGTAACCTGCATTAAGTTTTGGAAAGAGAACTCCCCTGGTAGATAAAAGTGGGGTAATTTATCTCTTGCTTGGCTTCTCATCCTGTCCTCTACTAATTACAGCCTGGCTCCTGCCCTGAAGCATAAGGTTTAATATGCCTTCCAAAATTTTTCTTGCCCACAATTATATAAATCCTGCATTGTCTTGATTTCCATATTAATGTGTAGTTGAGTTTTGACCCTCTTCTTAAATTCTTAGCAACTTCAGGAATTGGTGACTTCCACAGTTTAATTCAGTATAGTGTGGCTGAAGTATTTTACTTTGGTTGGGTTTGAATGTCTCACCTTGATCTCTGGTTGCAGGGCTGCTTGTTCTCAGTCGTGAGCCGGAGACAGGTGCAAGGAAGGGCTACTAGGAAAATGGGGGGGGAATGGAGTCCCAGTCTCATACGCAGTCCTCTACACCACATATGGTCCTTTCACCACATTGTCTTCTAATGTGGCTGGCTGTCACTTGCCTTTTGAAGACGGATGCTGGCAACTTCTTGGCTAGAATTGAGGGTGCTGAAATCCAACAGATCAGTACTTCAGCTAGGCAGAGGCCTAAGAAAAAGTCAGTGCACTGCAAAATTCCTATTTACTCTCTCTATTGTGAAAACATCAGCAGGCATAAGCGGTGTGTAGGCCTTGTGTTGGCCCTTTATACACAGGCGAATTCCAGTGGTCCCTTATGACGATGGCAACTGGCTTCTTATTTCATGTATCCATCATTTTTTTCCACGAAGTAGAAAAAACTTTCCTTACCTTGATGCACAAAATGTTGTTAGATCGCAGAGGTGGTACCTATATTCCTGCCAGGAGCAGGAGACTGGACCAAATGACCTCCTGAGGTCCCTCCCAGTCCAGTTTTTCTTTTATTTCATTTCTTTTCCTGTTCATGTTCTACATAAAAGAAGACGAGACTATTTCTGACAAAGCTTAACTTATTATTACTGTCACTTGTCAGTATGCAAAGCTTATGCTGAGTTATTTTCATGATGGCATGAAGGTGTTGGGATGTAATGGTGGTAGAGCACTTCTGGTGCCTTGCTATAGCACTGATGGAAAGTTCAAGCCCTGCTCTGGATTCATCTCAAAGACTGACCCTAGTCAACCCAGCTGTAAATGGGAAGCTTGTTACTTGGGCTTGGGATTCAGAAGTAGCTGGATGCAAATGGTAGCCACATCCCTCCCTTGTGTGCCAGTCGCTACAAGAAGGACACTAAATTCAGGTCTGCATTTGACTAGAAGGCCTATATATGGCATCAGGGCTCTATCGATGAACAGATGAGCTGCTACAATGCACATCTGCTAGGAGGAGCAAGCAATGCCAAGCTGAACGAATGCACTGAGATGAGCATTACTGTAGGACCACAGACCAAGGAAGACAGATGGTTCAGGTCAATGTCTTGTAATCTGCGCCCCTGATTCTGGCTTTGGGGTGAGGTTGGAGGGGGGGAGTGTTGCACAAGTTGTTCTCCTCTAGGCTTATTTATTTCAACTGCAGTGCAAAGCAGCAGGGCTTTGGTTTGCAAAGGCACAGAGGTTGAGAATCGCTGATCTGGTTGTTAAACCATATGGCCTGAGAGTGTGCGCGCCTACTAGAATGTGCTGCACCAACGGGAATTTCCTATTTGAATCTCAAAGCACTTTACAGAGGAGGAAACTTTGTGCCTATTTTACGGATGGAGAAACTGAGGCTCAGAGCCGAAGTGTCTTGTCCAAGGCTGCCATAAGGACTAGCAGCAGAGCCGGAGGAGACCTCTTGTCTCTAGAATTTGTATTCTTGCTGCTTCTCAGGTACCAAGAGGTTGCTAAGTGCTACCTTTTCTGTGCAATGTCTTGCAGAACTTTTTTGTGGTTACACTAGTCAGGCTTTATAAAAATGCTGGGGTGAGGGCCAAGAAATGACTTTCCCTGTCATTTTACTGCTACCCATAACACTATGTGAGCTGCACCTCCTGAACAGGCTTAGAGAAAAGAGACTATAACACCCTTTGTAACATTTTTATTTCTCTTTTGTTTCTATTTCAGGAACATCATATTGCTCCTTAAAGTAGATGAGATGTCTCCAGGGTGCCTAAGTGAGTTAGGAGCATAAACTTTCGTGAAAGCTTAGATCTTCACAGCACTCTCAGTGATGTTGTAAAGAAATGACCTGGGCTAGCCTAAAAGAAGCCAGCGTGGGTCCTGATAGCAGGGTAGCTGTAGCCTCATAGAGTTTGGCATGGGCAGAAAAACACTCTTGAAACAGAGTCAAGTGGTGAAACCACACTGAGGTCTGTGGTGCTCCTGCTAGGCTGCTACTGATACCGTAGCCAGTTTGCATTGTGTCTTCAGTACGCTGCTGTCACTTCTGTGAGTAGGAGGCTTAACCTTAGGAACAGGCACTTTTTGGCAAGGTTTATGCCCCTCAATCACTTAAGCATTTTGCCTTTTTTTTTTTTTAAATTCCTATCTCTTATGAAAAGGAGAAGAGGGGCTTTTTCAGTCTTGTTCTAACTTATTGGTAGGCGGTATAGTCAGTTGTATTGAGCAAAGGCCCAAAAATATCCTTGGGAGTGTGGTTTTTTTTTTTTTTTTTCCCCCCTAGGATGCCATTGCACCCCTTTGTAACTAGAAATCACGCGGCATTTCCCATATGAATACTTGTTTGTATCTACCACTAGCTTCAGCCTAAAAATGGCTTGTACGAACCTACAAGGAGAGATGACTTCTGACTGCAGAGAGTCCTTTAATCTGGAGCCCAGAAATAGTGCGAGCCAGCATCTGGAAGCTGACAGTAGTCAAATTTACTCTAGAAGCAAGAGTCACTTTTTCACAGCAAGGACGGGGAATTTAGTCTAGGGATACGATGAATTCTTCAGCATGCAAAATTCTTGGGCCATGCCTTTTAACTGGCATAAATTCTCCTAAACGTGTCCCTTTAGACTCAGATTGGACATCCTCCCTGTTTGTGCAGCACCTAGCGCAGTGTGCCCTTAACTGTACAAGGGCTTTTCTGTTTCTATTTTAGGAGGTAGAGAGATCCTTAAATAAAGTAGATGGGATGTTTCCAGGGTGGCTGAGTAAGGGTGCTGTAATCAGCAACAGTAATAATTGATGCTGAGAGTAATGGGATGGATTTTTGCTAAAGAATAATTAAAAAGAGAAGATTTTCCCTAGGGCAGTCTCACCCCTTGAAATGAGAGCTGCTCAAAAGCATTAAAAAAATTCAGTAGTAATTTGATCTGAAATTTTAAATCTCCATGAAAAAGTCTGGGCTAGGAGTTCTCCATAATGACTGATTTTTTTTTTAAATTTTTTTAATTTTTATTTTTTTTTTTACATTTGGAGGATATTGTCCTTCAAAACTCTGACACAAAAAGGGCCCAAATGGCCTCAGAATTGTTCACACTTATCTGATCATGTTTTCCGACCTGCTCTTGAGACACTTAAAGCAGGCTCAACAAAGCTAAGAGGAAGAAACCTGCGCAGGATGACCCTGCAGTGGAGGGAGTGGACATATAAAATCTCCTTAATTTCTCTACTCCGCGGCTGCGTGCTCTCGTGCAGGTTCAAGCGGCGGTGCTCTTGGTTAACTCAGAATCGAGACTGTCCCCAGTCCCTCCAAGTGCTGATTGCTCAGCCTGAGGTTGCAAGGTCTGCTGTGCTCTAATAACCTCCTGGTCCCCGTCCTGCTACAGCCTGCCAGGTTATTTATATTCCATCTGTTCCCTTGCATCCGCCACACTTGCCAGCCTCATGAAGTGATGCTCTCTGCCATCCACGTGTCTGCTTTAGGCTGCACCTAGTTCAGCTGTCCTGGCTGAACACCTCCATTCAGCCTGCTGCTGTCCCTTCTCACCAAATCTATTCATCTTTTTTAATATAGAGGGACAGATCATTGCAAAGTGCCTTAAAAGCTTGTAGCTGCTTACCACCACTCCCCCATCAGGAGCAAAGATGAACATATCATGGTGACTCAGGATCTGGGCTGCAGTTCCTACCCCTGCTCCTCCCATGGGCTCTCTGTTGGGTCTTAGACATGTCTCTTAACCTCTCAGTGACTCAGGTGGGATATGGGCACTTCCCTCCCTAAATGCATTGCTGTTTGTGAGGATCGTAGATACTATAGAGAATGAAGCATGTCATTGTCCGGGCACACACAATGCAGCTGCTTCTGGGGTGGCCGTAGATCTGGAACAACAGCTGCACATAACTGTTAAGGGTAAAAAATAAAACTCGAGGAAACTCCCGTAAAGGGGAACATAACTGCCTGAGCAGAGAGGCCGAGTAGATCAGTTAGTTGGAGCATGGGGCTGATGACCCTAAGGCTGCAGGTTTGATCTCCCTATGGGACCCAAGACCTTCCCTGCCTCAGGCAGGGGGTTGGACGGCATACCCTTTTGAGGTCCCTTCCAGCCCTACTTCTCTATTAATTGAAGCGATTCTACGTTTTAAGTGAACGTTGGGTCCTACCATCCTTGTTTTGTTTTCTTTTAAATCATACTTGTTGCTTCTTTAAATATTAAACACCGAAGGTTGTCAGGCCTTGAGAGGGTAGTCTAGCAATGCGGTCTCTTCAGCTTTCTGACAGCAGAATTAGCGCTGGAGAGTTCCTGAGGCCAGTCTTTGACACTGACTTCCCTGGTGTCCTTGGCCAT